TAGTGGGCCTGTTATTTTGTAATTGTATTATTTTCCTTCCTAAGTAATCATGACTATCATGCTTTTCTTTGCTGAGTTTCTAGAAAATCTCTAAAATATATTGCTTTGCTTACTTCAGCTTTTCTTCCTTTCATTGCTATGATGAATGTTATTTATTCTCACAGTTTTCACACTATGGAGTTTATATTATTTCCGCTTTGTACATAGAGCTGCAAATATACTCTATCCATCAGAAGTTGTCATTAAAAGTAGGACATTTTTCCTAGAGCAGGACATGAACTGTGATTAATTAGTAGAAGTTAAGGATGAATGCCTTGGAGTAAGCAATATAATTTTCAAATGGACAAGAAGGAACCAAACTCAAGATGGGCAAAGGGGTTGAGGAAAATACCATCTGCTCTGAATTAGTCTAGGTTTCTTGACCTGGGTGAATTATTTTCCTGAGGACTGATAGCATCTTTGGATGGGATCACAGAGCCCCTCATTGGTTACTGAGAGCTGGTCCAGAGTGGAGGATGCACACATGCCATTCCAAGTAGGAGGAAGATGCCTGTTAATTATATCCAGTGAGCTTAATTTTACTTCCTAAGGAGATTGCAGAGTACTTTATTAAAGGGTGGTTTATAAAGCATATCAAGAAAAAAAACAATAACTCTTAGACCAATTTTATGGTATTCAGAAGCAGCATATGAGCCTCCCCATTTCATTTTTTGTAGAGTTAGTGGATCAAGGAATTAAATTAGGAGTCAAATCTCTGGATTTTGGGAAGAAAATAATTATGTTTGTTATAAATTACTGAGGGAAGTATGAATAACTAGGCTGTCTGTGCTGATAACTGGATGTCTGGGTACTTTCATAATCAGATATATATGAAATGTACTGACTAAAGGACCAGCATCAAACAGTGTTGTATGACACAGAATCATGTTCTGTCACTGCCAACATTGAAAATCAGAGAGTTGAATAAAATGACTCTCAAAGAGCAAATTAAAAAAAAAACCCTACAAAGCTTAGAGTCTTTTGGATGCTAAAGTCAATGACTAAGGCTGAATCTGAGATACATATGTAGTATATATCTTTCTTACACGATTGAGTATTATATAGATAATATACACCAGTATTTGAGCCTTAGTGATAGGAGATAGTATTTTCATTCTCAGTTCTGTACTTGGTCTGGAGATAGTATTTTCATTCTCAGTTCTGTACTTGGTCTGAAGAGCCAAATGCTCCCAGCATAGAATGGGAAGTACTAATTTCCAGGAAGAAGTAGCTGAAGGGAGATGAAAAAGAAGTAGAAAATGGGTCTGATCCCAAAGGACAGTGATGGCTTCTATTGTTTCTCTTTCCCTCTGGAGCCATAGTATCTTTGACTCAGATTCTGTCTCAGCTGTGTTTGCTTGTTTTTCTCTCATTCCAGTTACATGGCATATTCTATACCCTGCCCATGACCTTTGCACATGTGCTGTAGAGGTCATGGAACATGCCTGGTTCCTCCATGCTTATAGGTTAAGTTGCCTCATCTCAGCCTAGAACTCTGTTCTGGGTCCAAGGTTTAATTCTGGTTCATCAATCAACCATGATTATGGATAATGGGTAGTCAGTTGTGTGACCACACAGAGCAGCAAGGCTGTGGAAAGTTGATTCTCAATGAGGAGATGATGGGTGCAGTTTAATGATACATAGGTTTTTTCTGTGTTTGTTTTTGTGCCATTCAGTCTGACCATGAGCTCTGTAAGTTCAGCAGCGCATGCATCTGGGGAGTTTTGTTTACCTGGATATGTTCCATGACCAGAGTCTACCTCTAAACCTTACAGTTCAACTTTACCACCTGCATTCTGAAGCATGTACAGGAGAAACTCTGCACCCCTCTTGGACCACCGAACTTATGTCCAGCCCTACTGCTTGGCTTGACCACACCAGCCACCTCCATTGTTGTAATATTGGAATGGCACACGTTGCTTCTTTGAAGTGACATCTTTCAGATACTAGGTAGCTTTTCAGATATGCATACCCTTGATGGCTTGAGCTGTTTCTTGGGTTCTTAAAGTGAACACACATACTTGAACCTTTGACTTGCATGATTATGTCGAAGTTTCTGGGTCAAAAGAGTAGGGATCCTGCAAATAAGGGAAACCATGGGACCTATGTTTCTTCGGAAAAGGTCAGATAATGTGATGTCAGGAAAATGAACCCTTAGATATGTATTTTAATGTTTTTTTCTTTCATGCATGTGTTTCTAACGCATTTATAAGATTATCTCTGTGTTGCTTTGTATGTCCCTCCCCCACAGTATAACCCCTGCTTTCACTATATTTGATGTCAGTATAACTTGTGGAGGAGATGGGGAAAAACCAGTTGTTTAAGGATACAGGTGGACCTCTTGCAACAATGAGAAGTACAAGTTGTCATGTCCAAAATGAGCTTTACAACGTTGGTGGGGGGGGGGAAGTGGGGGAAGGAGAAGGATTGGGGGGGAGGGGGGAGGCTGGGAAGGGATGTGAAGGGTAAACAAAGGAGGAGGATGCAATGCTTGGTAAGAAATGTACACATTATCCTGCCCATGTAATTGTAACCCCTCTGTACAGTATGTTCACAAATAAAATTAAATTATAAAAAAAAGAGTAGGGATCCATTCTTACAGGTCACAGCAGCCTCTTAGAGGAAGAGCTCTCTGTTGTTTTGTTAAGCAAGGACCTTATTTAACATAAAAGCCATAATAGTATATAAAGTAACAGCATAAATGTTCTACAAATTTTCAAGAACAATGTATTCAGTTTGTTTTAGGGCCTAGTAAGCACCAGGCCCTAATAACATGATGACATGCTAGACTAAGGGAAGTTTATGTTTTAGTAAGCTCAAACACACTGAACTATGCAGATCTACCCATCATCCTTTGAAGCAGGAACCAGATCAGAGCAAATGATCTAGAATGAGAAATAAAGTTAACACCCTGGAAAACAGCTAGAGGAATTGTATGGACAAGAGAAAACAGAACGTTCCTGAGAACTGTCTTCAAATCTCAGGAAGGTCTTTGTGTGAGAGAGACTGGGGCTTGGGCTATTTTGGGAGGCAGATTGATGTACGCATTTCCTGAGAGACAAAACTGGAAGAGGATGGGACAGGCTGCCTTGCAAAGTATTTTCCCATCCTTTGGGATATTACAAAAGTTGCTGGGCAGCGTGCTAAGCTTGAACTGGGTTACCTTAACCTGATGGTTTATAAATCTATGAATTTGGTATCATCAGCAGTTAGAGGATCAATAGAGTCATTCATAATTTGTATTATGGTTTTTAATTTGATGTTTATTCTATAAAATTGATTATTAGTTTCTCCCAATCAGTACTTGTGTAAAGGCAGATATGGTGGTGCCTTTACTGGAGCAGTTTCTGTAGTATCAAGGGAGGTGGCATTAAGAATTCAGCAAGGTGTGGATGGCTCATGCTTATAATCCTAGCTGCTCAGGAGGCTGAGATCTGAGGATCACAGCCCAGACAGGAAGTCCTTGAGACTGTCTCCAGTTTGCCACCTAAAAGCCAGAATTGGAGCTGTGATTCACAAGACTAGAGAACTCACCTAGAGAAAAAAGCTCACGAATAGTACCCAGGCCCTAAGTTCAAGCCCCAGGATGGGTACAAGACAGAAAAAAAGAATAAAGGCAGAGGAAAGAAAGGAAGGAAGGAAGAGAAAGGGAGAAAAGAAAAGAAAATGCTGGGCGCCTATGGCTCACGCCTGTAATCCTAGCTACTCAGGAGACAAAGATGGGAGGATCACTATTTAGGCTATGTGGTTGAAAGCCCATCTTACAGATAGATTCTGAGTGTCATCCCAGCTCTGAGGGAAGCAGAAGCAGAAGAGTTCCAGTGCAGGCTGGTCAGGACATAACATGAGACCTTAGTCAGAAAATAAGGCAAGAGGGCTAAGAGTATATATAGCTCATGTGCTCAGGTGCCTACCTAACAGCACATAGCCAGACGTTGTCATGCATATCTGTAATTCTAGCACTTGGTCGGCAGAGGCAGAAGGATTGTGGGTTCAAAGATCCTGTTTTTTTTTTTAAAAAAAAAAAAGAGCAAAAGAATAAATACTTCTTAACTAATCCAAGGGTTGATCCAGTTTGGTGCCTGGGGCAAATATTTCATGAAGCTGTCTCTCATCCTTTGTGAGAAGCAAAAGAAGCAGAGGCTACTTGAGGCTATTTTTACTTGACACAGAAAAAAGCCATTTCTTTCCTGACTCCTGAAATTTCATTTTCCCCTGGTCTTTTGCTGGCAGGGCCTCAGGCACACTTTATCTGAAGGAAGTAAGAGGATTTAGCCAATGTACACATGGTAGATTGAATATAATATAAATGATTAAAGTCATAGGCACTGGTTTAGAGGTTTAGTCTCAACATTTAGTCTCATCTTTCAGCTGGTTATTGAACACCAGTAGTCTCCATGTCAGTCTGTGAGTACCATGGACCCCACTGGAGGGAGAGATCTGATCGAGGGAGAAGAGATTATGTTCAAAATACTTTTTGTACTTGTGGGTTTATGACAGAATGCTAAATCCTATAAAAATCATAAAATATTGAAACTGAAGAACTTCAAGTTCATTTGGTTCAATGCCATAATTTTATAAATGAGAAAAATAGGATCTGAAAAGAGCCGAAAGGCATGACCAGACTCACAGGGGAATTGGCCATGACAGGCCAGAGACTTCTAGTACTGTGGAAAACTCATCTTAGTACAACAATCGTAAAGATATTTTTACCATTTTTTACTTAAATTTATGGAACCTATCTGAAGTGTAAATCCCTCTGAGGGATACCACAGAGACATAATTGCTCTAAGAGAACTGTTTCTAGTTCCAAGAGTTTGTGCCCGAGTCAATATGGTAAAAAGACAGATGAGGGCTCTTACCTGTGGCACAGCCCTCTGTACCTGACCAGCATAGGCTACCGTCATATCTTCAGCTAAATTAAAAGCAGCCTATCAGTAAACGTGTGTTCTGTTTCCTAGATGTCTCCTGAAGAGAAAGTTTGCAAGTACTGTGGAGTCAGCTATCTAATTCTACATGAATTTAAGGCCATGGAAGAAAGACTGAAAGCAATGGAGAAGAAGGTGGAGTTTTACCAAGCAAGTGTAGACCGGGAAAAGAGACTTCAAGAAAACCTCCAATTGCTCAGTCAAGACTTTGCCCAGTGCAAAATGGAAAATGAATCCAAAACTGAAAGGTTAGAGATGTTTTTCTCTTTTCTCTCTTATTTAGTTTGAAAGAAAAGGACAGAAAATAGATTTTGAATGTTTTTCTAGAATGTTCCTATATCAAGCATATATTTTTTAGTTGAATACATTTGCTCATAATTATAGGTGTCCAAGAGTAACTATCAATATAATTTATAGTTTCCTTTTGAGACTCCCAAATAACTAGAAAACAATTGACTAAGTATATACATATATGTAAGTATATACATATATAAGTTATACTTATATATATATATTTTTTTTTCATATTTTGAAAAGGATACCAAGACATTAAAAAGGCTGTAGGATTCTAAATAATTGGAGTTGGAATAACTCCGTTGTTGTTGTTGCTGCTGCTGCTGCTGCCACTGCCACTCTTTGAGGCTTGAACTCAGAGCCTAAGCTCTTTCCCTGAGCTTTTTTGCTCAAGGCTATTGCTCTATCACTGAGTCACAGCTTCACTTCCAGGTTTTTGGTAGTTAATTGGAGATAAGAAATTCAGGGACTTTCTTGCCTCTACTGGCTTTGAACTGTGATTCTCAGATCTCAGCCTCCTGAGGAACTAGGATTACAGGCATGAACCAATGGCACCCAGAGAAATTGAAATAAAATTTAAAAATGAGTTCCTAATGCTGTAGAATCTGCCTAAGATACTTTAATTAGCTTGTGTGGATACTTAATGTGAGAGTTCCTTATGTTTTATTCTCTTCCTTATGAATGAAAGTTTCTTGATTTAAAGTATCTACAATTGATATTAGCAACTCTTAAGTTAATCAGCTTAGTGAATATCACATCTTTGGGAAAATACCTACTTTTTAACCTCTTAGGACAAAGTACTTCTATAAAGTTTTATGATAATATATACATAGATATTTATAATTTACACATAGGTTATTGTATAATTTGTTTATATAATTTATTGTATAAATATATCATTACATTATCAATTAACAGATATTTCTTCCTAATCAAGAACATTTTGTTATAGTTTCTTCAGTTTCAAATCTGACTAATAAAATACAATATTTTAGTTGAGAAATTTTTAAAATTTGAAATATTCAGCTTAAAAATGTTAATTTAGAGGATTTCTGCTTGTTAGGAATTCTTTTTCCAGTGTTGCCCACATTTTATTTTCTTTAGTAATATTTTGTATTCTCAGCCCAATGCCAGTGGTTCATGCTTGTAATCCTAGCTATTCAGGAGGCTAAGGGTCATGGTTTGAAGACAAGTTGGACAGACAAATCCAAGAGACTTTTATCTCTACTAAGCCAGAAAAATGCTGGATTTGATGCGTGGCTCAAATGACAGCACTCATCTGTGAGTGACAAAGCTGAGCAAGAGTGTGAGGCTCTAAGTTCCAGCCTCAGTATCAGCACAAAAGACAAAACAATTTATTTCTACAAGTTATACATCAGCACATGAAGTAAGAAAAACATACAGAATAAAAGATAAGAACATCCCTAGATGGCCTGCTGATTGCATTCTCACTGGAAGTAAAACAGCTCTTCATGGTTTGGTGGTATATCTTTCTAAGTATTTTGTTGTATCTTTACCTTTATAACAGATATATCTCTATTTATTATATACATTTGGGCATGAATGCCTCGTTCTGTGACTTCTTCTACTTATTTGTATGTTCTGGAGATTGTCCAGTTTTCACCCTGCCATTGATGCACCAACGCTTTCCTTATTACATCTTATACAACATACCTTCCCATTGTTCTTTCCAGCATTGTTTTTTCTTTTTGTTGGCCGTGGAACTTTAACTCAGCATTTATATTACTTCAAGTTTTATTATTGCATAGAGGAGTTGCATTTATATTCATTTAATATGTTTCTCATAAGATAAGTTTATAGATGTAAAGTTGCTGCAAGAAAGCACATGCCAATTTAAAGTTTCAGTGAATATTTTACCAATTATCCATTGAGAAGATGTGTCTGTTACAATTGGCCAGTAGTTTTTGAAGTGGCTATTTTTCTACATTTTGTTAATATTGACATATTCTTAATTTTTCTGAATCTCTTGAGTGAAAACAAAAACATTATCTCATGGTTATCTAATTTGGTTGTTTTTACCAATGAAGCTAAACATTTTTTCATATTTGTTAGACAATATATTTCTTCTCATATCTATTATCTATCTATATAAGATGTTCACTTTTCTATTTGCTTATTTGAGGTCCTATTGGGTATTATGTTTTATTTTTAGGAGTTCTTAATATAATATTGACTTTCTACTTTGTATCTGTTAGTGTTTTCTAATGGTTGCTTGTTTTTTTACCTTGTTTATTTCTGGCAATACTGGGGTTTGAACTTAGGACCTTGTGCTTGAGCCACACTTCTTATTATTCTTTTATTAACCCCTCCTTTTAAAATTACTTACCTTATGTCAAATTTTGGCCAGACAGGGTTTTGCATTATGTTCTTTTGTTTGTAAACAACAGAAACGGTAATACTAACCTTGACACAAAAAAGGAATTTATTAGAAGTGCATAGATTGATAGCTCACTGAAAGACTTTGAGAAGGACAGGGAACAGCACTTGTTGGGGACCTGGGCCATCTCCTTAGAGTGAATTAGCTCCCCTTTGTTTCTTCATCCTTCCCGTCCAAGCCTGAAGTCCTAGAAGAAAGTCTTAATGGCTTCTTTTGATTACATGACCACTCAACTCCCACTTTGTTAGCCTTATAAAAGGGAGAACCCTGTTTAACAAGTCTGAGAAGAGTTTGTACACAGAAGGAAACTTGTTTACTAAAAGAAAAGCTTGACTGTTGTCATCAGAAGGGGGAATAGATTTAGTAAAGTAAAAACAAAAGCATGTTTCACAGTTACGGTATCACCTCAGAGGCAGATTTATAATTTCATGCTTTTTGTTGCTTTCCAAATGTCTGGATTGTTATTCAGTATTTTTTATCAGGTACTTCACCTTTTCCCCCCAGATTTGCAATGCCACCTGCTCGTTTCCAGCTGGGCCCTGTGTTCCGTGCCATTGCGTCTGGGCCCTGCATTCTGTGGCATTGGCTCAGCATCATACTTTGACACTCTTCCTCATCCCCTCTGCCCCTTCCCAAACCAGTCTCAATGAGCTTTACTGTCAAGTGGACAGGCTTGTAATAAATGCTTTCTTACTGTGATACTATTTTCCTATAAATCCTTCCTTAAATATATTCACATGAGTTTACATTATAGTGTGCCATAAATTAAAGGTTAGTATACACATAAAGTTATTATGATACAAATGCCTTTGCTCTGCAACACTAATCACCCATATTAGTGGTGGGAGGCAAAATGATTAACTTGCTACTATTTTAGCATAGATTTTTGCACCTTTGTTCACTAGTGAAGCTGCTATGTAGGGTTGGTTTTTTTTTTTTTTAATGGTATAAAGACTGGCTTTCTAGGGGTGTAGCTTAAGAGGCAGAGTACTTGTCAAGGCCCTGAATTCATTTCCCAGTACTGCTTAAATAAATACATAAATTCCACTCTCACAGTAAGTTAAGAAGCCTTCCACTTTTTATGTGCAGCAGGCACTCTGAATAGCATCGTAGTTGCTGTTTCTTGCGGTTTTAGTAGATCTCCTTTATAGAAAATGTCTGGTGTCTTTTTAGGGTGGTAGAACTTCAGTGATCCATTTTGTTTTCTCTCTAATTATTGCTTTATTTGTGGATTTTTATTCCTTCTTGATTTCAAAGTTTACTGGTTTCAGCAAATGATATTTTCCTATGCAATTAATAATGTCACTTGGCATTTCAAATTTCTTGTTATTTAGTAATATGTGGTTTCTCCTTATTTGAAAGTTCACCTTCTGTGTTTGTTCGATTCCCTCTCTTTTCCTTGGGTAGATTATTTGCATTTGAAAAAGAGCTGAGGGACAAGGAGGGAGGCAGAGAAGGAGAGGAACATTTTGCCAAGGAGAGTAACAAATTGTCTATTTTGTTGGCCCTTTCAGATAACCAGATTTGGTTTCAATAATCAAATCTGTTTCTTTTCTGTTTGTTTTCTAGTTTGTTAACTTATTATCCTGTTTATATTTGTTTCTTATCTTTTCAGTTTTTAGTTTTCTTGCTAGTTGCTTGAGTTGAAGTCTTGATTAATTTGTTTTCGGCTTCTTTCAAATAAATGCAGTTTAAACTAACATGTTTTCCTGTGGTGACAAGTTTGTTGTGTTGGCAGTGGCTGCACTGCAGACCTTTGTATAATAGAATTTTGTTTTCATTTACTGATAAATAAGATGAAAGTTCAGTTTTTCTTTTTAAAGAAACACTTTGTCTTTCTTGACTTTTCAGCATTTGACATACAATTATATCTCACCTAAGAAATACCTAGAAGCATGTTTTAATATTTCTAAAAGATGACATTTTAGCTATTCTTTTATTTCTATCTTTTGCATTCTTCTATGGATAGAGGAAATAACTCTTAAGTTCTTTGGGAGAACTTAAAGAATTTAATAGTCATTTTTTTAGTAATATCCCACGCTATTTTAAAAAGGTATATATTCTTTGTTTTATTGGTATAACTTTTCAGTAGATACATTAAATTATACTGATTGTGTTATTCAAGATCTATAGTTCTGTTTTGTTACTTTCACTGGAGATAGTGGCATCTTATAATTCATACTTCCATATGATGCTGAGTGTCTTTTCATATGCTTACCCTCTCTATATCTTCTTTGGTGGGGCAAAGCACAAATAAGGAAGGTTGTAGCCCAGACCAGCTGTGCATAAATTGAAACCCTGCATCAAAAGTTACCAATGGATCTGGGTACTGGTGGTTTATACCTATACCCCTAGCTTCTTAAGAAGCGGAGATCTGAGGATCACAGTTCAAAGCCAACCTAGGCTGGAAAGTCCATGGGACTCCAAAAAAAAAAAAGCCAGAAGTGGGGCTGTGGTTTAAGTAGTAGAGTTCTAGCCTTGAGTAAAAAAGAAGCTCAGGGACAGTGCCCAGTCCCTGAGTTCAAGCCCAGGACCAGCATGCATATAGACACACAC